GGTAAATGCATTTTAAATTCTATTTCGAGAATAAAAACATTGAAAAATAATTAATTTCTGTGAATAACAACGGAGGGCTAAGCTTCGTATAAATAGATACAATAGAGTCCTAACTACGGAAGGTAACTATACAAGGAAACCTACCATGTGTACAAGGATTACTACATTAATATTAAATATACACATACTATATTTAACATGCGCCCAACTACGTGACCGGTGATGGGCGAATGCTAAGACTGTGTCTGAAATCGGAGAAGAGGAGTGAGGGAAGCCCTTTGGTGAATATATCTGCATATTGAGAAGATGATGGAACATGAAGGACCCTGACATGACCGAGAGCAACTTTGTCTCTAACGAAGTGAATGTCGACTTCCACATGCTTGGTGCGCTGATGCTGAACGGGATTAGACGAGAGATATACTGCACTGACATTATCACAGAACACCAATGTGGCACGTCGCAGAGGCTGATGAAGCTCAAGAAGAAGATTTCGGACCCAACTCGCCTCAGCCACTGCATTTGCCACGGCTCGATACTCTGCCTCAGCACTGGAGCGAGAAGTCGTGGCTTGCCTCTTGGAGGACCAGGAAATGAGATTATCTCCAAGGAAAACACAATACCCGGAAGTAGAACGACGAGTGTCGAGGCATCCAGCCCAATCAGCATCTGAATAGGCTTGTAAAGCATCTGTGCGAGTGCGGTGGAGAGTGATCCCATGTGTAGCTGTGCCGTGAATGTACCTCAGGACCCTCTTCATGGCCGAAAGATGAGTGCTGTGGGGCGCATGTAAATGAAGACATAACTGCTGGACTGCATAAGTGAGGTCGGGACGAGTGAAGGTGAGATACTGTAGAGCGCCGACAATGGATCCGTAGATAGTGGGATCCAGAAGAGGAGTGCGAGACGTCGCAGACAGCTTAGCTTTGGTGTCCACATGTGTGGAGATAGGCTTACAGTGAAGCATGCCAGCCCGCTCTAGAATCTCGTGTGCAAACTGAGTCTGATGAAGAAAGAGTCCCCTAGCACTGCGCTGGACATTAATGCCAAGAAAGAAATTGAGATCCCCCATATCTGTCATAGCAAATTCCCCTTTAAGTCGCTGAGTGAGAGATGTGAGGAGGGCAGGAGAGGATGCCGTGAGGACAATGTCGTCCACATAGAGTAGGAGATAGGCCATGTCTGTGCCACGGGAGAAGACAAAGAGCAACGTGTCACTCTTGCAGCTGCAGAACCCTAGAGTGATGAGATAACCTGCAAATCGTTGGTACCAGGACCGGGGACCTGCTTGAGACCATAGAGGGCCTTCTTCAACCTGCAAACATAATTAGGCCGTGCCGGATCCTGGAAACCTGAGGGCTGGCTGGCATAGACTGTCTCGTGAAGTATGCCATTCAGGAATGCATTCTTCACATCAAGCTGGTGAATGGACCACCCGCGGCTGAGAGCAAGAGTGAGAACAATGCGTACCGTGGCCGGTTTGACAACTGGGCTAAAAGTCTCATCATAGTCGATGCCGAAGCGCTGATTAAATCCACGGACCACCCATCTAGCTTTGTACCTGGACAGTTCACCTGTGGGGCCAAATTTGTGGCGAAAAAGCCACTTACCGGTGATAATGTTTTGAGTGGGGGAGGGAGGTACTAATTCCCATGTTTCGTTTTTGATCAAAGCATTAAATTCATCACACATAGCACTGTACCAGTTTTGATCCTTGAGTGCACTACGGTAGGTGGGTGGGAGAGGAGAAATTTGGGCCATGGAGTTAAGGTTAAGGATCTGTTTGGGTTTGGATATGCCGACTTTGGAGCGGGTTATCATGGGATGGGTGGTGGTGGTGGGATTGGGCTGTGTGGGCCGAGGGGATGGGGGGGAAGTTGATTCGG